ACACACACACACACACACACACACACACACACACACACACAGAAAACATGAAGATGTGACCTATGTAAACCCTCAGCCTTCTCGCTACTCTTCCTGATTTCACCCTTGACTTGCAATCTAATTTCCATATGACAGCCAGACATGGGATTTCTTTGTTTTGTTTTGTTTTGTTTTTCAGGCAGGGTTTGTCTATGTAGCCCTAGCTGTCCTGGAACTCGCTCTGTAGCTGGCCTTGAACTCACAGAGATCCGCCTGGCTCTGCCTCCTGAGTGCTGGGATTAAAGGCGTGTGCCATCACCCCGGGCCAGGCACTATAATATTTTTAAAGAAAGGGTCCTACTATGGAGCCCTGCTGGCCTCAAATTTATAGTGATCCACCTGCCTCTACTTCTCTAGTGCTGGGATTAAAGGTATGCGTCACCATGCCCAGCCCTTTACAAAGCATGAACTCGAAAGCTGGGAATGAGACTGAATAATGGCCTAGCATGCTGGATGGATGCCGTGGGCTTCATCTCAAGCACCAGCAGCAGCAGCACCACCACCACCACCACCAACACAATAACAACAAGACAAAAAACATGAGTATGGGGCTAGAGAGATGGCTCAGCAGTTGAGAGCGTGTACTGCTTTCTAGAGGACCCTCATTCAATTTCCAGTACCCACATAGGGGTGGGAGTTCACAATTTCCGCTAACTCAAGGGGAACCTGATACCTCTGGCCCCCTGCACATATAACTAAAAATAAAGTTAATCTTCAAAAGAATAGCTTTCTAAAAAAAAGCCTGCTGGGGGACGTCTTTCTGTATGCTATGAACATATGTTGTATAAGTTGATTTGGCCTATGGCAAGGCAGCTTAGAGGCAGGCAGGAAATCCAAGAGAGACAGGAAAGAGAAAAGAGTCTGGAAAGAGAAGCTGAGAGCTGCCGCCAAGAGAAGCAAGATGTAAAAGTACTGGTAAGCCACAAACCCATGTAGCAGTGCATAATTTAATACACATGGGTTAATTTAAGATATAAGAGCTAGGTAACAAGAAGCCTGACTCATAGGCCATACAGTTTGTAAATAATATAAACCTCTGTGTGTTTACTTGGGACCAAGCAGTTGCGGGACGTGGGAGGGAGAGATTCATCCCAACTGCAGGGCCAGGCAGGACCGGAGAAATCTTCCAGCTCCAAAAGCCTTCTATCAAACTTACACTCAAAGCCAAACTGCTTGCTTGGCCAGCAAAACCCCACAGTGCCTACCTCTGGTTGGTTCTTCCTCCTTCTCCTTCCCTTCCCTTTGCTTGCTTAGCTCCATTTGGTCACCTTCCTGTTCCTTAATGGTGTCCTTCCCACACGTCCCTCAGGGGTATGCAGGGAAAGGGTGACACCAAAGAGATGAGTACGTAGACTATGAACTGCCTGGTGGCTGCTGGCAGGTATGCCCCCAGAAGACCTTCTGGTTGGAGCTCAGTGGTTAAGAGCACTGGCTGCTCCACCTGAGCATTTGGGCTTGATTCCCAGCACCCAGATGGTGGCTCATAACCATCTGTAACTCCAGTCCCAGAGGATCTGATGTCCTCTTCTGGCCTGCATGGTTATCTGGCCTGCATGGTTATCAGGCGTGCATTCTGGGTAAAACACCTGTCATTAAAATAAAATAAAACAAAACAAAATGCCAGGCCGTGATAGTGCACTCCTTTTATCTCAGCACTTGGGAGGCAGAGACAGGGGGATCTCTGTGAGTTCAAGGCCAGCAAAGTCTACAGCGTGAGATCCAGGACAGGCACCAAAACTACACGGAGAAACCCTGTCTCAAAAAACGAACCACCAAACAAACAAACAAACAAACAGCAACAACAACAAAAAAGGGAACATCAGCCAGAGCCAGTTCCAGCTTTACCTACCATAGCAAAGAGGTTGTCATAGCCTTTGACCTTGGTAGGCACCTTGGAGAACTTCTGATCAAAAGCATCTGAGATGTTGTGGGCTGGGTCTGTGGAAATGATTAGAACACTCTCACGACCTTTAGAGAGCTGGACCGCCAGGCTGCAGCTGCACAAAGGAAGAAGGAAGACGAGGAGTGAGGAGCAAGGAGCCAGCCCTGGTAGTGGGGTTCATAGCAGGAGAGCAAGGTCGGGCCACAGGGACCTGGATCAGAGGAACCTTAAGAACAAGTATGGGAGCATGCCTTAACATCTGCAGAGATCACCACCTGACCCTTCCATTTGGATTGGACTGGTGTGCAATGTTCAGTTGACTCGTTCGGCTTGTTAGAGTGCCTGCTTTTTGGGTATGCAGTGGCACAGTCCAGCTGTCCAACCAACACAGATTGCTCTCCCGTCCTCCCTCGTTCAGGGACAACACGTACTTCACCTCTCAATGGACTGAGGCACTGTAATCATGTGCCTTTTACACTCCCTTCTACTCCTTCCCGCGCTGGGCATCAAATGGAAGGTTCGTCCTACTATAATAGCTTGTATTAGTGTCCCTCCCTCTACTATCAACTTCCTAGGGGGTACTGTCCAGGAGACTGCGATATTTAAATACTCCTCTGCACACACCACGCGCTGGATTCACAAGACCCAAAGAGGGATAATCCAACTCAAGGCGCCAGGCTTGCATTCAGGAGGTATCTTCGGCAAGCTGCGGTAACTTCCGGAGAGTACAACCCCGAAGAGCCCCGCTCAGCTCGCTTTGCCCCGCTCGGGATGAAAGAGCCGGTCCCTGTCCTCCCCTTCGTCCGGTGGTACATCCCACCCGTCTTCTCGGCCCCACCAGAGCCTCCTTACCTGCAGGTGGTCTTACCCACGCCACCTTTGCCCCCGACGAAGATCCACTTAAGGCTGCGCTGCTCGATGATATTGCTGAGCGTGGGTTCCAGCGGCTCCACATCAGGAGCATCCTCGAACTCCTCTGCCTCAACCCCCCACCCGGCCACCCCTGCCGCCATCTTGGAGCCGGCTCACGTGATCAAGCGGGACGCACCACGTCCTAAACACCTACAGGGGAAATGGATCTGCCACATCCCTGTGGAGGCGGGAAGCCTGACTTAGTCTACTCCTGCATTGACATTTAGGAACAATAGACGCTATATTGTCACCGTTTTATGCGTCGAGGACTCACCTTGGTGAACATCTGTCTGTAGTTTTCTAAGAATTCCCCTGTCTTGTGAGTGTATTGGTATGACTCACAGTATTGCCTCCCAGTGATTGGATCCTAAGTCTTGCGGTACTCTTTTCATTGGCTGTAGCTTGTTTCACTTCCACTAGTCACGCTCAAGTCCCTGTAGGCGGCAACCTCTCTCTCCTTAGCAACCAGTCAAACATCTTTGAAGTTAGAGCAGAGGTGTCTCTTGGCTCGATTCTATAGGCTCAGTTTCCTGATGATCATTTCCTCCTTACTTCCTATTTTGTACCTCAACATCTCGTCTTGTCCGCCACTTACTCAGTTGGTTGTGAGCCACGTGGCTCCTGCCGCAAACCAATCACGAACGAACCGGTTAGTTGGCTGAGGGTCGATAAAGGACTGCAGACTTTTGCCTGTGTGCCCGGAACACCCATACTGGGCAGGAATGATATCTGCAACAGTCGTCCTTGTAGAGAGAACTTTAGTTTCCGAAACTCTTGTTGCGCTTAGCGTTGTGCTCCCCCCTTGTACACGTGTGTGCTCCAAGTTCAGCAAATGCTGTTTGAATTGAATCCCTGTTCTCTGGAAGGAATACAAGGGTTCTTAGTCCCTTGGTGCAGAACTCAGCGCAGAACATTAAATCTTAGAGAAGGACTCAGCCTAGAAATATCTTCGGCTTCATTTGAGTGCTCAGCTTCTAGAATACTACTCTCAGACAGGGCACCTAGCTGCACGTAGCCAGCAGTATCCTTATTTAAAGGTAAGAGGTTAAATTCCGAGATAGATGTCCAACCTAGAGAAGCTTCCATCTCTAATAGGAGGTACCAAGTTAGATAGATATGCTTTCCAGACCTAGTTAGAGGCCACCCAAGTTCCCAAGAGTCAACGGAGCACGCAGTCCCCAAACAAGGTCCTTTCAATCACAGAGTTCTGGTGGCCGACTGGGACTGTGCTCTCAGCCGTTAGCGGGAACTCGGGTCCCAGACGATGGTTCTATGCTTCTGTCTGCTTAACGAACTCGTGCTGGCAGGATTAGGCAAATCCGAGGAACAGAGGGAAGGAACCCGGCTTCTGGGCTCCTCCCCCGGGTCGCCGGGTCAGAGCACCTTTGCCCCACCCAAGCCCCGCCCACTCCGCGTGGGCTTCTGGGATCACGCCTCTCTTCCCAGCATGCAGCGCTTCAGACGAAGCCCGTCCCGCGCCGAGCGCGCGGTCCGAGAGCCTTTCCCGAAGCCCCTTGCGCGGCACCTGGCGACAAAATGGCTGCCCGAGGGAGACGGGCGGAGCCTCCGGGTCGGGAGGCGCCCGGCCCGGCGGGCGGCGGCAGGAGCCGATGGGCTGAGTCGGGGCCAGGAACGTCCCCCGAGAGCGGGGACGACGAGGTGTCGGGCTCAAGCCCGGTGTCCGGCGGTGTGAACTTGTTCGCCAACGACGGCAGCTTCCTGGAGCTGTTCAAGCGGAAGATGGAGGAGGAGCAGCGGCAGCGGCAGGAGGAGCCACCCCCGGGCCCGCAGCGACCCGACCCATCGGCCTCCGCCGCGGCGGGCCCAGGGAATCCGAAGAGGAAGGGCGGCCCGGGCCCCACACTCAGCTTCGTAAGGAGCCGCGGGGGTGGGGGCGGGCGCCGGGGCCCGTGTTGGCAGGGGGAGTCGGGCCCGGGAAGGGGCGTCCTGGTCCCAGGCAGTCCGCAGCCGGGATGCCCGGACGGTCCCGGTCGCTTGCTGAGAATGTTGAACCTGGATTCCGGACGAGAGGTGTTTCTGGGCGGTAGTGGGAACCTCCAGGTCTCACTCGCGGGACCTGGGAACCGGGAAATTGCATTGGAAGCAGCGCTCTGGGGATAGGGGACCCTAGATGCTAAGATGCCTGTTTGATTTGTACCCAGACTTTGAATAGTGGGGACCCAAACACACAATTTGAGGGAAAAGGAGGGGACAAATTCAGATTCCGAGTCTGCTGTATTCGTTAGACTCAGACCACGGACCGTAGCCGGGCGTGGTGGCCTTGCAATACCAGCACTCCGGATTCAAGAAGACCGAGGATTCGAAAGTGAGAGCCTGTCCTAATTAAACAAAACCAACCAACAACAGAAAGCAAGGCACTGACTTTGTGACCTTAGGAAGATCATTCGATTTCTTTCTGTATCATTTAACTGTTGTCCGTTTATGGAGCACCGTACCTTGTGATGGGTATTCAGTGGTGAATCTGACAGAACAGAACGTGGTTTGTTTGGAGCCTGGGTTGCCTATCCTGATTTTCTGTAGTTCTAATAATTGACATCATTTTACCTTTCTATGGGATATGAGTATCCCATAGAAAAGTCAGTACAGACTCCTAGAGAAAGAGCTAGACCAGTGGTTCTCTACTGGGGACAAGTCTCCTTACCCTCATGTATTTTGTAAAGTCTGTAGACATTTTGGTTGTTAAAACTCTGAGAGGAGACGCTAGTGACGTCTGTGGGTAGATACAGGAATGCTGTTCAGTATCCTACAGTGCATGGGGTGACAAAGAATGAGCTAGCTGAAAAAGCCAAGAGTACCAGGTTGAGCGCTAGGTTAAATAAGTTGCATATATAATTTGTGTTAGTTTTGAGCTTGCTTTGTCTCAGGCACTGCGTTAGAGGCCCTGTAGTGGGGAGGAAGAAATGTTAGTTTTAGGATAGCAGATGTGGGTCAAATAAATCCTGGATCCAGCTCTATGGTTTGGGGTAAGGCTCAAGTTTCTTTACCTCTTAAAAGGGTGTATGAGGCAGACAGGGTGGTACATACGTGTAATCCTAGCACTGTAGAGGTTGAGACAGGAGGGTTGCAGAGTTTGAATTCAGCCAAGGTTACATAGCAGTAACCTGTTTCTAGAAACAACACAAAAAGGGTGTGTTTGTGTGGGAGCTGAGACTGGAGGGTCTCAAGTACAGAATGAATTCAGAGCCAGCCTGAGCAGCTTTGTGAGACCCAGCTTAAAGTAAACAAGAGGTATGGGGGTTTAGCTCTGTGTTAGATTGCTTTGAGTGCTTGAGATCCTAGATTCCATCTGCAGTGTCTGATGCCTAGTTGAAGGGTGAGCACAGGATGTTGTCTTAGAGGCCCCCAATTAAGGGGAGAAGATGGGATACCAGGGTAAAAATCCAGAGCAAGACTGTTCTTAAAGGAAGTAGAAAGTGACAGTCAAGAGTAGAGGTTGAAACCTTTTCCAGAAATGGGAGCAGCAGTAGTGTTACTATTATTTTCATTTGTTCATGAGTAGCCATTATAGTTACATCCTTAAAAAAGCCAGGCCAGATCAGGACAGGAGAATTAAGGATACTTTGTGATTCAGGATGCTCTGCCTGGCTTTGCACATTCTGATCATGAGTATTGCTGGCTTGTTAACAGCCTGTCCTGTCCCTCCCAGACACTTGTGTTTTTCTCTAAATGGGGTGGTTGTTACCTTTCAAACAGCATAACTGAATGTGAGAGGAGATAACACGACCACAGCACCCTTTGTGTGGCACATAAGGCTTGGTATGTAGTAATGCTCAATAAAGGTATTGCTACCTATATGGTCCCTGCCTGTCCGGGACAGGGTGAGGCCTGGGCAGAAAGAGTGAGGACAGAGCCAGTCCCCAGTAAGGTGAGCACTCCTCTGGCCCCCTGGGAGGGTAGCCTGGGGCCCAGGACTGCCTGGGCGTGGCAGCCCAGGGCAGGCGCTGAGTCCAGTGTGCTCCTCTCTGATTGCTGCGCAGGTCGGCCGGCTGGAGGAGCTGGGCGAGGCGTCGATAGGAAGGTGTAGTGGGCCTCAGCCCCGCCAAGGGCGGGCCCGGCTCCTGTAACCCTTGCAGTCTTCTGTCCCTTCACCCAGGTGGGCAAGCGCAGAGGCGGAAACAAACTAGCCCTCAAGACGGGAATAGTAGCCAAGAAGCAGAAGACGGAGGATGAGGTGAGTGGGCTGGCTAGGGGTGCCACCTTAACTGCCTTTTCCTTCCAGACTCAGGCTTTGGGTGGGTGGGCCTGGTAGGGTGGTAGGTCCCCAGATAACCTGCCTCTGCATTTTAGTGTGACATCAGGGGGTGGGGCATCTATCATGGTGTTCCCGACTCTTGTCCCCAGCTTCACGGGCATCTGTCTTCCAACCAGTCCTCCCCTCCTCCAACCCCACAGGTATTAACAAGTAAAGGTGACGCATGGGCCAAGTACATGGCAGAAGTGAAAAAGTACAAAGCCCACCAGTGCGGTGACGATGATAAAACTCGGCCCCTGGTGAAATGACCCCCTCCTGGGTGCTCACTGCCTGGGACTCTGCAATGTACATAACTATTTAAGGCGGTAATGGCAGCGACCTTCCTGGAGGACTGATACACAGAAGGAAACCAAGGCGCTTCCCGTGGCCGCAGACCATTCTCCAGGACTCTTTTTTTACCTTGAGCACTTGCCTCCTGAGACTCACTAGACCAGTGGTTTACTGTCCCCTTTCTTCCCACCACCTCGCTTTCTCTGGCTCTGTCTGTCTCTCTTGCTGTCCTTCTTTTAGCAGTCACTTCTGAGAAGTAAAGAACCTGATTTAGTGCTGGAGCTGTGTGCTTGGTGTGTCGTCTTTGCGGTCTCCCAACTAAGACTGTCCCCACTGGTGACTGCCACACCTACCAGTGCTGGAGTGGACCCATGTGAGAAGGTGAAGGGAAGTTCTGTAGCCAGGGACCATGCGGCCTGTCATGTACCCTCAAGACATCTTTCTTCCCTCTTTAGTAACTGTGGCACCTAACGTCCTGTCTGGTTTGTGTTTTTATTTTGAGACAGGGTCTCATGTGCTGCACGGGTTGGTTTCCTCCCTTGGCAGCATGGTGTGGATATGTACTACCTTCCAAGTGCCCTCACAGTCTCAGGTTACTGTGACTTGGGTTGTACTTAAGTGTGAGTGTGCTTGTCCGGTGCACATCAGGCACTGTTCAGTCTCCAGCACTCCTTTGTGTGCTGGGCACTAATCTTAGGTTTTGGTTAATTCAGAGCTGCTATTTTATTTATTCCCCAGATAGTGACCAAGCACTTACCACCATATACCAAGGCTGTTCTGGACTCTGGGGATCAGAGCATTAACTACCCTGCACTCTCCCTGTCCTTAGAGGAGGCAGATGGGAAGAAAGCAGGGAAGGCTTTTTGGGTGGTGACTACTAACAGGGATAGGATAGAGGCTTGCTGGGGGAGGGGATGTCTATTTTAGGCCTCTTTTTATATTTTTTTGGTTGAGAGCCTAGCCTTTAATGGTTGATAGATTTTCTCCAGCCCATATGTCACTTTTAAAAATCTTTATTTTTTGCTTTTATGCATGTCTGTATACCACATGGATGCCTGGTACCTGTGGAGACCAAGATAGCAGCAGATCCCCTGGAACTAGAGTTACAGCTGGTTGTGAGCTGTCATGTAGTTGCTAGGAATTCAGCCTGGGTCCTCTGGGAGAGCATCAATGCCCTCAACAGCTCCTTAGGTGACATTTGATCAAAGTCTGGAGGTGAGGAAGTGTCTCAGTAGAAGTCTCAAGACACTATAAAGACAGGTTGTACAACAGCAATCTGTGATGGGACCTGAGGAAGGACAAATAGCTCTGATCCTGGAGTGTTGAGGTGGTGCCCCTGACCTTTCTGACAAAGCAATCTGAAGGCACTGTGTTCATTCACTCAGTTAACACATACGATGTAGGAGTGGGCTTGGTGACTCATGCCATGCGTGAGCTCAGTGCTTGGGAGGTGGAGGCAGGTGGATCAGGAGTTTAGGGTAACCCTTGTCTCATGTAGACTCTTTCCAATAACCACATACAAAAAATAAAGTTGGTCAGGGTTGACAGCTTGAGAAGATTTGCTCTAGATCCCAAAGGTGGCAAGGTAGTGTGGAATGTTCTTGAAAGTGCTCCAGGCAGAGGTAGTAGTAGGTATGATCTTCTAGGGTTCATAGGTCTTCAGAGGAGTTGGAGGGTGGGTTGAGGATAGGGGAGAAAACACAAACTAATGGAGTCAACTCTGTGGCCACCTCTTTGGAAGCCAGCAACAGTTGGATCTTAAGCACACATAGACACAAGTAGGTCACCATTGTAGCAGCTTGGCCTCTATTCTGGAGTGTGTCAATAAACAGGACGAGTTGAAATCCAGGCCCTTCCCGTCACAGAGTCTGACCAGATATGTGACCTAGGAAAAGTGAAAGGAAATTCAAGTACATGTTTGGGTGAGTCACAGCCCTCTTGCCTGTTTTTGTGCCTGTTAGCGGTATGATTTTATATAAATCACTTAATCCTTTTTAAAATTAATTTTTTTTGTTTGTATGTCTATCTGCCATAGATGTATGGATGTGTTGAATCCTCTGGAGTTTGAGCCAGTTGTCAGCCACCTGACAGGGATACTGGGAACTGAACTCTGGTCTTATAGAAGAGCACTAAGTGCCCTTATCCACTGAGCCATCTCTCTAACCCATCACTCAGCATTTCTATGGCTCAGGTCTTTGTCTATTTTTAGCCATTTGAGACAGATTTTCTCTATGTAGTCCTGGCTGTCCTGGAACTTACTATGTAGACCAGACTGGCCTCTGAGACACAGAAATCCACCAGACTGCCTGCCAAGAGCTGGGATTAAAGGTGTATACCAACATACCTGTTTTTTTGTTTTTTTGTTTTTTTTTTTTTTGGTGGGGGGTTGTACATTAGAGATAGGGTTACTGTGTGTATTCTTGGCTGTCCTGGAACTCACTCTGCAGACAGGCTGGCCTTGAACTGACAGAGATCCACCTGCCTCTGCCGCCAGCCCCACACCTGGTGTTCTTTTGTCTATTTTTAAAGTTAGGAAGCATCTTTAAATTCAAATTGTAAAGAGCCAGGGCTGGAGTATAGCTTAGTGATGCAAGGCATTTCCCTATCATTTGAGATGGTGTCCACATATATGGTCCCCATCACTTGTAAAAAGCAAAAGAAGATACATGTATAGTTGGCTCTAACTGGTTAAAACTGCTCTCATTGCATCTGAGAGAAGTTAGCTTATATTTACAGCTGTTTTACAGTTCTGGGTGGAACCTATTTAATTTCCAATGCATGCTGGCAAGCACACTAACATTGACCTACATCTTGGAGGCCTTGTTTAAAAATTAGATTGGAGCTGGAGAGATGGCACACTGGTTGTGAGCATTGGTTCTTCTTGTAGAGGACCTAGGTTTGGTTCCCTTGGAGCTGTTGTTAGAAGTGGTTCCTTGTTGCCTGATTGTCAGTCCTGGGGACTGAACTTAGGTCCTCTGCAAGAGTAGTACGTGAGGCTTCTTTCCAGCCCTTGTAACTTTTTTTTTTTTTTTTTAAATTACACTTATTTGTGTGTGTGCATATTTCTACTATGGCACACATGTGGAAGTCAGTGGACTTGCCTTAAGTCAGTCCTCTCTCCACCATGTGGGATGGAACTCAGGTTGTCTGGCATAGTGGCAAGTGCCTTAATCTGTTGAGCCATCTTTCTTTCCAACCTTTCCCCGACACTCTTTTTGAATGACTGAGATGGAACCCAAGGCCTTATGTATGCTGATGACCAGTCCAGAGACCATGAGTTACACATTCTTTTTTTTTTTTCTTTCTTATTTTTCTTTTAATTTTTCAAGACAGGGTTTCTCTGTGTAACAGCCCTGGCTGTCCTGGAACTCACTTTGTAGACCAGGCTGGCCTTGAACTCACAGAGATCTGCCTGTCCCTTCCTCCCGAGTGCTGGGATTAAAGGTATATGCCACCACCAATTGGCCGAGTTACACATTCTAAAAACCAAAACTGTTTGTGATGAGATACTCAGAGAGACTTCTGTAAACAGAGAGTTTATGTTCTCCAATCAGATTTAAAGTTGGGCAGGAGCTGAATGCTTTTAGTTGAAATCAAGTCAATATTGAGTGCAGAGGGCCACTGTGAGAATTGCATAGGAAAATACTATTTGGAAACCTCATGGTAGGGAATAATGTTAAAAACGGAACGGAGAGCGCAGTATAGTGGTGCTCATTTGTAGTGAGGCTGAGTTGGGTGGATGGGTTAGGATCAGCCTGGGCAACACAGAAGACACCAAATCAAAACAGGAATAAACAAACAAACAAAAAAACAGGACACTTGACCTGATTCAAATCTCTGTGGAGAAAAGAAAGAGACTGCTACCAAACCTGTAGTGGTCACACAAGCGTTTGTGCCTACGGCAAGAAGACTGCAAGTTGGAGGCCTGCTTGGGCAACAGTTAGACCCTGCCTCAGGAAAAGAGTTTAAATTCAATAAATGGACCAGTGAGCTGGCAGGGTGGATCAAGGAGCACACACAAATGCCTGAAGACCAGAGTTCAGTCCCTAGGACCAGAGAGAGCCAGCTGTGCAAGTTGTCACATCCATTCAAACACAAACACCTTTTAAAAATGTATTAAATCGTCTGTATTTCATATTCGCTCCACGTGGCTTCTACTTGGAGTTAATGCCCATGTTTGATCAAACATTCTGCCGTCCCCCCCCTCCCCCCCAAAGATGAAAAAGAAAAAACTTCATCGTCCCTGCAGCCTTCCAACTCTGAGGGGCCAGCCCCCCACTAAGAATAAGTTGTGTTTGGCGTCCTGGACGCACGGCACCTTGGGACTTGTAGTTTCAAGGGTCACGGATGTGTGTGAGTTGTGGCGGGGCGAGGAAGCTCTGCGCATGTGTAGTGCGTCTTGCCGCACGTGTCTTTTAAGGAGGGTTTCTGTTTATATTGAGAGTTTTTAAACTAGTTTATTCGGGAGCTTTCCTTTGATCCTCTCAACCGAGCCTAAAACCGAGTAAAAGAAGCTCCAACTCTTGCTTTTTATGAGTGAACGTTGCTGGGACTGATTGTGCTAATGGGGACATGTGCTAAGTTTCCCTTCAAGTAGAGGCATTCTTAGACCTGTCCCTCACATGAAGGTCAATAAAATTTAGGACAGGGCTCGGTTGTCCTTTGCGATTAGAATCCTAGTTGGTTTAGGCAGGGCGCAAAGACAACGAACGGTCAGTTTTGTGCTGTTCTAAAAGCCAAAATTTCAAAGACTAATTTACGACCTGTCGGCTAAATTTAACTTGGATTATCTCTAATGGAGCAAATTGTAAAATATCCATTGAAATAGAGGCGAGTGGCAGGAGAACACACCCCTTATCAGCGACAGGACTAAGGGGAGGAAGACAGGAAGTTAGAGGAAAGCACCGAGGTCTCCAATTTTAGACTACCATGCTTTGCGGTTGAAAAGGAAAAACAGTGCTCTCTACTGGATTCAGTTGGCAGAAGCATTCATAATCCTGCCCTTGCCTGAATTCTCTGGGCAAGGGCTCTTCATCTCACTTTTATCTTCAGGTAGGGGAAGGGATTAGGTCTCCTGTTCGAATCTAGATCATTTTATTTAAAAAGTTACAGCCAGGGGTTGGAGAGTTGACTCAGCGGTTAAGAGCATTTGTTGCTTTTCCACAGGACCGGGGTCGAGTGCCAGCGCAGCTCAACAACTGGTAGCTCTGGCTCCAGGAGATCCAACTCTTTTGTCTTTCACTGCCGCTAGACACACATGCAGGCTAAACATCCACATGAA